GGTAAGGGTGGGGGACAGGGAGGAGAATCCCCGCTGCCTCCCCCAGGCACCTGCTCTGTTGCTTCTCGTCTGTTCGCAGCCATCACCCCTGCATCGGTGGTTTCGGCACAGCGAGAAGACTGAGACCATGCCCTAGGGCTCTTGTGTGAATGTATGTCTGTTACAGACTGGACATGAGCGGTATTTAGCCATTCAAAAAGTGCCAGTCTTGGAGAAGAGTTTTATTCTCATTTTTTTTCTTAAGTGTGCTATAAGAGTAAGTGGCAGGTGCATTCACTGCCAGTCTGGAGAGCCATTTAAAAATTGTCTCTTTAGTCTGAACTTACCATTCCTTAGTTTTATTTTTCCACTTCATCTTTTTACAGTGTTGCTGAGGTAAACAAAGACATAAATAAAATTCCTAGGTCATGTACAGAGTAAATGCAATCACATTTATCTGCCAGCACAGTCTTTGTGTGGGATCTATCAGTGTCTGAATAGATTTTAATAAGCAGATTGTACGCTTTATTTATGTACTTGCACTATTTTACCATGCATAGTGGGAACATACTGCGCACTGCGTAGTATTGAAGCAATGAATTGTTTCTATTTTAAAATTACCAGCCGTCTTAAAAATCACATCCTCCTTCTTCTTATCCCAAACATTGCCTGTAATCCTGCAAAGCCCTAGTCCTGTGGGAGGTCTCATTCATTTTGGGGATACACTTAGCTGAAGGGAAAGCTGTGTCCCTGCGGAAGGGTTGGGGCTAGCCCCTTGTGTCCCATTAAGTCAGGATCTCTGCGTGATGATGCTGTCACCCATGCCATGTCACCAAGGTGCTCGGTAGCGCTCACTGTAAACTCCCTCTGCTTTCTGTCACATACCCTGACTCTCGTGTCTAACCGTGGAGGAAATGATTCTTTATAGTGCGTTTTTGTGATTGCGTGTTGTACCTGCTAAGTCCAGTCCCTTCGTCAATAACAAAAGATGATCTGTGTGGCTGTTAAAGATACAGAAGGAGACATGGAGCATTTTCTCTTCAATTGGGACTAATCCTGCAGAGCCTTACTCCTCTGCTAAATCCCTCTAACTTTGGAGTCGTGGTAAGAAAGGTTATTATGGTCATGGATAAAAGTCTGTAGGCTGTGTCCCCTGATTCTAGCAAGAGATAACAGCAATGGCAATTATATGTGGTCAGACTTGGAGATTTGGGTCCTGATGTCTTGAAGATATTTGTAATATAAATTGATTTATGAAGCTGTCTTCTATGCAAAAGCAGAAAACGTGTTAGAAAAGATGAGAATGTCTCCTCTAGTGGCATTCTTTTTTTTTTTCCTTCCTACAGCTGTCATCCGCTTGTTTGCACCAAATTTCTTTCCAAGTTGTTCTAAGTATGATGAATGTATTGCTTGGAGTTAATGTATAATCTTTCCAAGCACAAAATCTAACTGAATATTTACGGTGGTTTTGCATGGTTTACCTTTTACATACACACATACTCATACAGTACTAGTTTGAATCCAAAATTCTGGGCAGCTAAATGAGCTGAAGTGTTGCTGCTTAAATTTTAGCCTATACAGAGACACGTTGTTCGTATGTCAGTCTTAACACAAAAACATCTAGCTCCTAATTGTCATAGTTCTGTCTGCAAAAGCCCTTGTGTGGGCACAGCTAGGCTGGCAGGTGAGTGGTTTTTGATGATGCGGTGTCTGGGAGCTGGTTTAGGCTATACTGACAAAAAAGCTTCTGTCGGTGTGAGCTGAATACCCATGTTGGAGGGGCTGCCAGTATCGCTGTTACTTCAATACCAGCAAATGCTCCAGCCAGTGGTTCTTCATCTTTCTTATGTTGGCAGTGATTGACATATTAGCTTCTCCTTTTGTAACAGTGATTCATGAATCTGCAATTGGTATATAGCGGCAACCTTCCTTGTTGTCCCAGCAGCTTCCTTCGCTGACTTAAATAAAAAGACTTCTGTGATTCACCTGCAAATGTTTACCCATCATCTGAAGGAAGAGCTGGTGCCCACCTGCACAGGTGTACAGTAAATGAACCTGTGGATCAAGGGAACTGACAGTCAGGATGCATTTCTTCTTGGTTTCCTTTCTAAGAGCCTGAAACTTACCAAGTTTTATCCTGATCTCATTTGAGCCTATAGAAGCAGGATCCATGAAGTCCACAGGACCAGCAGCAATTCCCCAGTGAATTCTGGAGAAGAATCTTCAAACACATCACTACTGTTCCTTTGGCAAAACCCAGGTTTTTTTTAACATGCAAACACAAAGATATCATTGCCAGTGTATGTGGCAAACTTGGTGAGGTGATCCAGCTTTGTTTCTCCACATACAGGGGTAATTAGGCTGTCACTGCCAGCACTGTCCTCTCTGACGGGGCAAAGTCTGCTCCACTTACCTTATTTTGCCCATCAACTCAATCTAATTTTCTGTTTCTTTCTCATCTAATGTCTCTCCTACCTTTACTTTCTTTCATCCCTTCCTTCTCTCAGAGTGCTCACCTGTCGTGCTCACCCTGCAATGTTTTTCTTTTGTCACTGTTATTCCAGGTGTGAAGTGCCCTCTGCATCTATGTCAGCTCTTGCCCTGGGTGCCCTGCACCAGTTGATGTGTGTAACATTAGAGGGGCTTTTGGCAGCTGATGCCGAAGGCTGGCAATGCTTCCCAGGCTGGAGGTGAGCAGTAACAGTGGTGGGCCCTGCTGGGAGAGACACCGGTACTGAACTCAGGAATTCGCTGTCAGCTAGCCCTGAGTTGGAACTGTGCGATAGGGCTCCAGTTTATGGCCTGAGGTATACCCAGCAGTGTAGCTGGTTAATTCTAGCAAGTTAATTTAAGGAGGAAAAGATTTGAGGTCATAGCACTCATACTCCAGTAGAAATGCCTTTAAGAAACTGATGCATCACATGGAACAGTTATGATGATACCTTGATGGTTTTGCACAGTGCTTTTCAGCCAACAAAGCCAGGTACCAAAGTGCTTTGCAGGTTGCCACTGTGTATATATATGTACATATATATATATATGTATATATACATACACAGAGAAAGGGCAGTTGTCTCTGAGCTGAAAGTTGGCATACATATATTTCTGTAATCTTAATAGATGTGCTGAATAGAATAGTTACAAAATTACTATTTTGAGCCGGTTTGGGTTAAAATTTTACTTGTGTTTTTGAAAAATGCTTTGTAAAATCTTTGAAAAAAATGCAGGTGGGGGAGATAGACTTGAAAATTCTGAGGTGCTTCTAGTTTTAATGAGAGTTTGTTTCTTACTTTCCCTTGAAGCAAAAAAATTGCAGAATTGGGACCCTAAATTAGACTACTGCTTGTATAGTTATTTGTTTGCTCATCATGAAACTCCTTAAAAAGTGAATTCTACAGTCAATACTGATGTGAGTGACCCTCCTAAAAAAACTAGTGACATATCATCATTGACAGAGAGCTATACTCTGTCGCACCTTGTTGACAGTAGGTAATAATTCTTTCTGTAAATAGTCCAATGGAAATAAATGAGACTGCTTGTAAAACAGCAGATACTGCTGGATAGTGCCCTTTTAAATCAATGAAGTCACTTGTAGCATAGATTTTGCCCTGCAGAGCCAAGGATGGCAGAATCTGAATGTCAGGATTTCTTACATGTAGCAATTGCAGAGTCAGGATTAAATTTCCATGTGAGGAATTAAAAATCAAGTTCTGTTGGTGGTTGGGGTTCTCCCCTCTCAAAGTACCTTGTATAGTGTATGAGTAGTTAGGCCTGATCCAAACCTTAGCAGTTTTGTGAGAGTCCTTCCCACTTTAGATAGTACCAGGCCCCAGAGCTCCAGCAGTGCAGTGGTGTTCTGCACCTTGGCCTGTTCAGCCTCTCCAACCCACGTAACCAGTCAGGGCAATACAGGAGAGAAAACAGATTCTCCTTGTCTTTCTTGAACTGGGGAGCCCAGAACTGGACACAGCACTCCAGATGTGGCCTCACCAGGGCAAAGTAGAGGGGGAGGATAACCTGATAACCTCCCTCGACCTGCTGGCCACACTCTTCCTGATGCACCCCAAGGTACCATTGGCCTTCTTGGCCATGAGGGCCTGTTGCTGGCTCATGGGCAACTTGTTGTCCCCTAGGACTTCCAGGTCCTTCTTCACTGAGCTGCTCTCCAGCAGGTCAACCCCCCAGCCTGTACTGGTGCATGGGGTTATTCCTCCCTAGGTGCAGGACCCCACACTTGCCCTTGTTAAACTTCATCAGGTTCCTCTCCACCGAGCTCTCCAGCCTGTCCAGGTCTTGCTGGATGGCAGCACAGCCTTCTGATGTATGAAGAAGAAAATCCTGTGAGAGAAAGCAGGTGTTCTTTTTCCTGTCAAATGTACTGTTTGTCATATTGGTGGAGCATCCAAGAAAGTGTAGACATTCCTATGTTTTGATCCTTCATTGTGCATTTCAGTTTCTCATGTTCTTGTTCAAAGAGCAAGAAGTATGCCAAAGCTGCACTGAGGCAGTAATGATCTTTGCTGAATCACACTGTAGTAGGCAAAACTCTGAATTTGTGATAGTAAGTCAGATTTGATTGATGTTTTGACATTTTTACTGTTGTTATATTATTGCAGACCCTAGAGATATAGTACAAACACATACACGGTGCCTGCCATGAAGGACCAGTAATAACAATCATTAAAACTATAAGGAACATTTTAAATCAAGGGATTTCATCAGAAACTCCTTAGTGGCGTGTTTTTTATAACGCTGCTAAGAACACGGGAACTGGGAACATACAGCTCTAGGAACATGCAGCCATTCAGTAGTAGTAATTTACTGGGGACAGACAAACAACAGAAGTGGCATTGAACTGTAACTGCTGATCAACGTACAGAAGAATGAATTCTGGAACTAAAACCAATTTCCTTTGTGTCTGTAGAAGAATTTGTACCTGAGAGCTCTTTTCCTTCATTTAACTCTCTTTATGATACTCTGACTGGAAAGTAGTCGTCTCTGCACTTCTGAGAGCCTGTTATCCTGGAAATAGCTGATTTCATTAATTCAGAACCTAATACTAGCCTCAGAGAGCAGTCCTTTCATACCAGCTTTTTTCCCCACTACCCCTGACTCGCAACTCCTGGAGCAGCGCCTGGGCAGATGGAAGGAAATCTGTGCCCGAGGCATAGTGTGCTGCTAGTCACTGACTGAGAACAGTGTGCAACACTGTGCAGAGATGCTCACATGAGAGATGTCACCAGTAAAAACTAAGGCATCTTCATGGATTACTTTAATTTACAGTCTGTGACCACCTTTTCACCTGCCACAGCCGGCTCGCTAGCGTTCATCCGTAGGCCCAAAATGAGAGGAAAGGTTTTATAGTGGGCTTGTCCTTTGTTCCGTGCGGCACAGGGATAACGGTCAGGTATTGTCACTTACATTAGAAATTGGAGTCACACAAAGCCTCCAGCATTGGCACTGGAAACTGCGGATTTGGTATAGTCAGAGCTGTGTTTAGTTCAAGAAAATCACAATTGGCAAGGCTGGAAAGCAGCTACATAATCTTTTTGGCCTGTGCTGTTGTTCAGACAATGCCAAATTACAGCAGATTACCCCATGCCTGCGTAAGAGGGGGAATCCTTTAGCATGGTTCCCCTGCCAACACTGTGTACCGCAACAGAGTTTGCCTACAGCAGACTAATTTACTTTCCATGTACGTTGTGTGGGTCGGCGTATAACAAACAGCCTTGACAACATAGTCTTGGGGGCTGATAGTTGTAGCAAGGATAATCTTGCACCAACCAGGCCAGGGAGATGAGTCAGGTCTGCAGCAAAACACAGAAAACAATAAAAATCAAAGAATTTGAAATTATAATGCAAGGTTGGATTTTCCCAACTTTGCAGTCTGCACTGATACATATTTTCTGATATGAACAGCACTTCAGATGAAATCTGTGTTTAACTTAAAATCTAGTGGACTTGTCCCCTGATGAATCAGTCTCCACAGCAGGGAGGAGATGCTGGCAGCCCTGTACAGGTCTATACAGTGACCAGGCAGGGAGGGAGCACAGTACCACAAGCAAAGCTGATGTGGTTACAGGGGCATGGAGCACAGGAGCGTTGAGCACAGGGCCTCACTAGAAACCCTGTGTCAAGGCTGGTCCCTTTTGCGGTAGTAGAAGCCCGGAGCAGCTGGCCATTGGATCACAGGTCTGCCAAGTGGCAGCGCGCACGCCGGGAGCTGGCGCTTGGAACGGTACCCCATGCCGGGAATGCCTGAGAGGCAGGTGTCGTGGCAGGCGAGCCTGATGGAGAGCTGACTGAGCAAGTGTCACACTCAGCGTGTGTGGTTGGTCAGCTGGAAACAACATACGAAGTGAGCATTAGACGCTGATGATCATGGAAAGCTGAGCTTTCACGCAGCTTCCAAGGTTTAAATGCTTGTGTAAGTCCTGTTGAAGGCATAGGCTGAAGGACCTTGCTGAGCAGGGATTCTAGTTACCTTTTCAAGAAGGTTTTGTGTATCCTTTTCCAAGGATTTCTTATGGAAAATTGAAGCAAAATATCTCCAGTCTGCCAGGGATATTTACACAGTTTACTTAATGGAAAGTTCCATGCGAGATCCCATTATTTTTCCCAAAGCATTAGACTGCTATTTGCACTTTGGTTATTATTACTGTTATTACGACATTACTCAGAAGTCCCAGGCAGAACTAGCCAAAAATAATTGGAAAAACAGCTGTGACAACAGAGAGAGCAGAAATTATGTAGATAGGAGGACAACTGCTGTCCTGTAATTTACAAAAAATATCATGATCTATTTTCGCTTGCTCTTTAGTATTCAGAGGCCTGATCTAGCAACCAGTGGAGTTTCTGGAAACTCCTCTGTTTTGGGTAGGAGCTTGACCAGGCTGTAAATGCATGTTTCATGCATAGGGAAAACACCTGAGGATTGTGGTATCTTCTATCAAAATAAATTAAATAACTTTTCCTCACAATATGAAATTAAGTGATAAAAGAGTTGCTACTAGTAAATTCTGCAGTTCAGTCAGAAGCCTTCTAAAACCTGAAGTACTGAAAAGAAAAGGCTCTGATTTGATGATGGCACACTGCAAGCTCTATCTTTTGAGCAAGAGTTGAGGGTTAAATACAGTACCAAACTATCCCTGATGCTAGTGACAAAGTCCTTTGTATGGCACTTCCCAAGAGGATATTTATGTAGCTATTCCTCAGGGCTAAGACGTAATCTTTCAGGGTTGCTTGTCACAAATTTGTCCTCATGTCATACATTCATCCCTTTTTACAGAGTGTGATTAAGGATGTGCAGAGCAAGTCCTTCTACAGACAAATGATGTGATCCTTGCTACATGAGGGGTGTCCCATTTTAATTGTCAGGACAGATGTGATTTTCATTTTCCTCCATTATTTGCCTGCACCCATAATCTGCTGCTCTTACATTCTGCAGCCATGTCTCATGTCTGAGGCTGAAGACAGGGATATCCATCTTGAAGAGTGATTGTCTAGCCATTGCCAGGGCTTCTCGCTCTGAGTTGCTGTGCTCCTATTAAATAGAGGCCCTCCATCTATTATAAAGCTTGCACAAAGGTGGCACACACATGTGGAATATGTGGCTAATTCAACAACAAGCCATCTTTGCAGTGGTGTCAAAGTCTTGCAGTGCCTGTGAATTATCACTTAGACAAATTTTAGAGCCTCAGGTTGCATCCTTGGACTGTTTATTTTATTGCACTGTCTTTGTAACTGTAGTGCCTAGAAGAACTTTAAACTCGCAGATACTTTAAGCTTCAGATTAAAATCACAAGGGAGTATCTTTTTCTGGTTAAACTCTAAGTGTATTGGTAACTTGTGCCCAGAACCCATTTGCTACAGTCTCGCTGCCACCCAGAGCACCGTGCTATACTCACTGCACAGATGAATGTCTTGCCCTTAGCGAGAGAGGAGACGATAAGCACCGTCAGCAGCCTGGAGTAGCTGACGTTTTCCCCTCTCTTGTGTAACTTCTGCTGATCCTGGAGTTTGAACTGGACGCTGATCGAAATCCTGTTTTTTCTGTCAATGGGGTACTTTTTGTGAGAATACGAAGTAGATGTGAGTGAAATAAAGGACAGCTGACAGAAGAGAGAAAATGAGGACCAGAAAATGCTGCTTCTGCAGCGAAGCTTTTCTTTGATTACTACCAGAGTATTTTATAAGCTAATTCAAAGTGGTGGCACAGTGCCTGAGGGTACGACATTTCAGGTGCATCCTTATGCTCCCATTGTCATATACTGTGCTGGCACTGTGACCAGGCTGCAGATGGCACAATACGCTGCTCTGTCCCTCTCCAGGTGGGAGAAGTGCCTGTGATGAGAGAGCCTCTGTCAAGGAAGAGCAGAAGGCACCCAAGTTCTGTCTTTCATAAGGTCTTCTTCTTGAGGACAACTTTCCACTGAAATAGTTCCAAAGTATTCAATTTTATTTCAGGCATTTATGATTTTTGGGGGGTGTAATGAAATATCAGCATTTTCCAAAGATCAGGCACATTTCTTAAAACTTTCCTTTAATTAAAATCCCTTTCTTTCATTAAAAAAGGTTCTGACGGAAAAATTTTCCTGGAGATTTAGCTGAGTTTTTTGGGGTATGCTCTGTCCCTTCTGTAGCACAAGCTGTGGTGCCAAGCTACCGCACCCACCAGGGATGGGGTTTTGAGCGTTGTGTCCAGGCAATTAAGCTGAAGAAATTAGCTTTACCTTGCAGTTGACCAGCGGGCATTTGTTGCAGGTCCTTCCCTAATGCCTTAGGGAAATGACCCAAAGGGCCTGCAATGGAATGAAATTCATTTACGACTCAGGCCTAAGAAACCCTAAAGGTCATGTAGCAGTGCAGGAGAGTCTGGTTTAGGGATAGGCAGAAGGCATGCGCCTTTGTTAGCCTTCCTTAACAAATTGATTGTTTTCCCACTAGGTATCAAGGCATCCAGTAAAATAAACTGAAAAAGAATGCCCACAACACACATGGCATCAGTTACTCTTCATTTAACTTTGTCAGTCACACTCAACAGCTTTTCTAACATAATGAGAAGTCTGGTAATTTTGGCACTCTGGGGCATTTTCTTTCTTTTAGCATGGAAGGAATGGAGTTGGGGCCTTTTGTGCTAGGTGCACAGATGTCGTGCTGTCATTTAAAGGTAATACTTCACTCAAACAAATTGTCTTGGTAAGAATCCATGTTTGCTTTTGTTTTGAGGTGAAGGAAGCTTCGCGTGAACCACAGATGGTGTTTACAGCTCGTCATGCAGCTATCACTTTCCAGACAGATGGAGAAACATGGAGAGAACAGAAAGAGAAAAAGGCAGCTCTGATGGTTGGCATCTTAATTGGAGTTTTTGTACTGTGCTGGATCCCTTTCTTCATCACAGAATTAATAAGTCCCCTCTGTTCCTGCAACATCCCACCCATCTGGAAAAGCATCTTTCTTTGGCTTGGCTACTCCAATTCTTTCTTTAATCCTCTCATTTATACAGCATTTAACAAAAATTACAACAATGCCTTCAAGAACCTTTTTGTAAAGCAGAGATAAAAGGGGACACAGAGGAGAAAATGATTCCTTTGTTGCATAATACAGAGATTTCTTGAGGGAAACATGCCTGTGATATGTACAGTTTTCAAGCACAAGAGCTACTTGAGGGGATTTAGGAACAATGAAAAAGAAGAGGGAAGGTGTTTAGATATAAACCGAATGACAGTTTACAGTTCCCCCTTGGAAATACATATATGCCGCTCCAGGATGTGGCAAAGAAGATCAAAGCAGTGAATACCTCCTGTCTGCTCATTGAATCATGTGTTAAGGCCTGCAAGCGAAGCACTGTGTGTGTCTAATACCATGACTGTCAAATCTAACTGGACTGATCTCATCTAACCAGCTACAGGTGCCATTCGGTAGCTCTCTCATCATTAGCAAAGGCATGGGTGGGAACTGCTAATTGAGCAGTACTGAAATGTTTGTGATATGGACAGGATGCTGGCTTCATTTTTGAGATTTATTTGGAAGGGAATAAACATGCTGTATTCAATCAGTTGTTGAATTGATGTGAAATTAAAATGGATGATTAAGCAGCTCAAAAACACGCCTTAGTATGATTGAAGGGCTGCGTGTTCTCTAGCAAGCAGCAGTCCTTGATGGGAAGTCTTGGTGAAATACAGGCCAGCTATGTCCCCTGGGGTTTAATGACGTTTTAGAGCCAAGTGTAAAATTATTCAGAGCTACTGAGAATGTGCTCACACCGCTTGCACAGGAGGAGGATCTAGTGTAGAGTTTTCACCTACGTTGTACTCTCTCACTCTGCAGGGCTCAGGCTCTCCCTGTTTTCTGAAACCCAGGTGAGCTCCAGACAGACACCTCATACCTCCAAGTGAAGGGGGACTGTATGCGTTATTATTCCATACCACCATAAAGCCAAGCATGCATTTGTGTTACAAACACCAAACATGTTCTGTGCAGGTTTTCTGGCAGCAGCACATGGTTGCTTGGCAGTGGTAGGTGAGTGCACTGCACTGTCTAGGGTCAACACTTGTACCCTAAGTGTTGTGCTCACCACCCTACCTGAGTCGAGTTCACAATTTGTCAGCCTGCATCAGCTTCCTCCTACTCTAAGAAAGGTATTGATGCCATCAGGTCTAAGTGACTCCAAAAACTCCAAAGCGACTCAAAACCAAGCCTTAAATTGTTTTTCCAAGATCTAACACCCCTGTCCCAACAATATGTACATAAATAAATTAAAATATAAGTATTTCCATGCATACTGCCAAGTCTTTCTCTCTCTCCAGAATTGTTCCTCTAGTGGATTTTACTTCCTCCCCTTCCCTAAGGTGGGGGATGCTGACAGCATCTCTTGAGTATTTCTAGCGTAGCAGCTTTTTACTGACACGGAGTCCCAGCACCCTCTCCCAGCTCCCCCTAAAGCTTCTTTAAGTGCTGTAAGGGCAAAACATCGTAGCTCTGATGGGGCCGGACAACATCACAACTCCTTTTGAAGCTGAGTAAACCTCAGCCTTTCTCAGCCAGTTTTGTGTTTTCTGCTGCTTAAGCAACCCTTTGATTTGAAGCGTACCCTCAGGTAAACAATGCAAAACTGCACAGAATGACTAAAAGTCACGAATTTCAGCTCCAGCAATACACACCACTGACATCTCGTTCTCACTGGAGTGTATCAGGCTCAGCCTCATCTCTGACAGTTACCAAGCTAATGGCCGTCGTGTCGATGCGAGTGCTGACCACAAAGCTCCTACCAAAGTAGAATCATAGAATGCTTTGGGTTGGAAGGGACCTTTAAGGGTCATCTAGTCCAAACACCCTGCAATAAGCAGGGACATCTTCAACTAGATCAGGTTGCTCAGAGCCGCGTCTAACCTGGCCTTGAACGTTTCGAGGGCTGGGGCATCCACAGCTTCTCTGGGCAACCTGTGCCAATAAGTCTTGTTATCCCGGCAGTCTCTCACAGACAATGGCAGGAGGTGTGTTTCCATCAGCTAGGGACTGACCTACTTAACAGCCACGTCAGATAGATATTATCAAGTAGCTTGTGTATTCTGAAAAACAAAAAAAATTATGCAGCCTTTACTTGCTTAACTTTAAAGCAGAATTCACTGCAGTGTCACCTAAAATTATTCATATACCGGGTGATGTCAAATTGAGCCTAACGTCAGGTATCTGGGCAACTTGGACGGAGGCAAGTTCCAGCTCCTTTCTAAAGAAGTGATTTAAACAAATGCTGTCAAAGCACACATTCCTCCAGGTCCTTAAGGGAACCGCCTGGCCTCATCTCACTGTCAGGATGTATGGTGAGATCAGGCACTGCTGTACTTCACACCCTGCTGTACTGTGAAATTCCAGGGTGACCTGCAATGTCTGCAGCCACAGCCACCTGTGCATCTTATGTACCTGCAGAGGATGCTTCTCCTCTCCATTTCAATGGGAATTAAGAAATTTTAATAACCTAGACTTCCAGAGAGTTGTTAGATAGTGGCTCAGACTTCTAAACACCAACTTAAATAGCTCTTACCCTTGAGAATCTCAATTTGCCTGCATATGGAATAGCTACGGCTCAAACGAGTGTTTGGAGGCTTAATTAAACAGGAAGGGAGGCACATATGTAAGAGTCTAAAAGTTACTAAAACCTGCAGGCCTTATTCAGAACCACTGATGAATTTTTCACGTGAATGGAATTTTTCCATGTAAGACAGTCACTGCTCTAAAAACCTTAAAAGCCAAACAGAGGACATGGAAAGAGAAAATGAAGAGGTCATCTTAAGCTGGTTGTTGAAAAGCATACAAATCTGCATGTGGCCACTCCTGACATTTCCAGTGATCACGCTTTGGCCACATCTCAGCACCTGCACCCCATCTGCCTGGTAAGAGAAGCCATTACCAGCACGCAAGTCTAACGCCAGCCCTCCTGCGCTGAAGTTAAAGCACATCACAGTCTGTGGCTGCAGCAGCAGAGATCTTTGTTCCAACTGTACATGCCGACTGACTGGAGGAACACCAGGCTCCGGTTCTGGCGCAGGAACCCTTCCAAGAAGCGACACAGATTTTGGGGTACATTTTACCATGGCTTGGCATCTGGAACTTGAGAAAACGCCATAAAGCCAGAAGTCTAGTGTGCAGTTCAGTGTTGCTGTACACTTGCACTGATATTACTGCAAATGCTGAAGATGCAGCAGGGCTGTTGTCCTGGTTTTGGCTGGGATAGAGTTAATTGTCTTCCTAGTAGCTGGTACAGTGCTGTGTTTTGGGTTTAGTGTGAGAATAACGTTGATAACACACGGATGTTTTAGTTGTTGCTAAGTAGTGCTTACTCGAAGTGAAGGATTTTTCAGTTTCCCATGCTCTACCAGCAAGAAGCTAGGAGGGAGCACAGCCAGGACAGTTGACCCAAACTAACCCAAGGGATATTCCATACCATAGGACG